AAAAAAAAAAAAAAAAAAAAAAAGGAAAAAGACCTGGCATGTGAGGCATTTTATTCATTTATGTAGCTGTGTGTGTGTGTGTGTGTGTGTGTGTGTGTGTGTCTGATGTGTGTGTGTGTGTGTGCGCCTGTGGGTCCGTCCGTCAAAGAAAAAGTGGAAGTGTCCAAGTTCGCAGAGCCTCTCTATATTAGATATTCTATCCCCACGGCCAGGTTGTAGAGGTCTGACATCCCATTTCAACCTGTCAGCTTAGCCCGGGCAGAGCGGGCGGTCTGGACAACAGGAGAGGCGGCAGGGTGGGATGGAGCTTTGGTAACTGGCTCTACCTGCTCCACATCTGTCTGGCACTGTTTTCTCCTCAACAGGAGACATTTATTCTCTATCTCTCACACACACACACACACACACATACGTCAAGACACCGGAGCTGGTCTTCGTCTGTGAAAACTAGTTGGAACTCAGATAGTGTTTTCTTAAAGAGGTTTTCAAGTCCGATATCAAGTATTGGTATGTATCTAAGAATAATATCTAACAGATTAGTATAAAGAACTAAATACGGATCAAATGTATTTATTTAGTCAATCAAATTTTCTTCAGTGAGTCCTGCAGCAAAGTGCTTTCTGTTGATTCAGGGATAAAAATGAAGCAAGGAGCTAAAATATTAGTAGAATCATAAAAATGGCAAAATGCTACATTGTACTAAAATTCTAAATAAATGTGTCTGATCACCTAAAGCTTGTTCTACCATTTGGCACTTTTTTTTTTTTTTTAATTCTAAATTATAGAAATGCTTCTGTTATCTTCCTCAATTGTCAAAAGTTGTGACATAATTTGATTAGCTCTTTTTTTTCACAAATGTACTTGGATTGTTCCATCTATTTTCATGAGATGTTCTGCTGCTGCAATAAAACATTAATGAAAATACTTATTTTAAAGCAATTAACGCGTTTTCCAGGGGTGGGCAGTAAATGGGGAAAAGTTTTTCTTAAACCTTTTCAGTTCTTTGAACTCATCTAAAGCTCGTCTCCACTCCTGCGTCCACATCAGTCGGACTGTCTGTACGTGTTTGTTCATACCTGTTGTGGAAATGTCGGCACGTTTGAACATTTTCTGAAATGTGTTTTTCTTTTATTTTTTTCTTTCCGTTTTTCGCCCCAAGTGCTGACGCCCAAAGTGATCGGCGTGGCCATAGCGCGGTACGACTTCAGCTCCAGAGACACCCGGGAGCTGTCGCTGCAGGAGGGCGACGTGGTGAAGATCTACACCAAGTCCGGAGCCAACGGCTGGTGGCGGGGCGAAGTCAACGGCCGGGTGAGTGTCGCTCCTCAAATCAGAGGAGAAGAAAGTTGGACTGCGGGAGCAGCTTCATGCTTTTTATTTTTCTTTTAATTTTCTGGATCCAGCCCCCAAATGCTAACACTGTAGCTTTGAATTGGATTCCTTAAAGAAGTTTAAATGTTTCTAAAATTCACCGTAGAGTTCCCTGTTAAAGAACTGTTTACTCTTGTATTGATTTGAGAAGATATTTTGATGAATATTTTACTCTGCAAGGACCCAGAAAACATTCCTGTCCACTTTTCATGGCTCGTTCTTCAGTGTGTTGTTGTTTACGCCTAAATCCGTAAAAGCCAATCCCGGCAGAGCTCTCCACACACATTACCGAGAGACGTCGGGGTCAGAATGCAGGGAAATCCCCCGCAGTGTGCGCCGACTCTCTGCATTTCAGCAAGGAGAGTCTGGAAGTGTTGCTGTGTTTGTGTTTCGATCCTCTGCTCAGCCAGATGTTGAGTGTTTACAGTGAAGGGAAGCTAAAGAGAGCCGTTTGTCCCAGGGAAGGCAGTGGAAACCAGCTGGTGTAACTCACTGTGACAAACATCTCTCTATTTTAGAAGCTTTTCTGTAAATTATAAGATGGATTAGAATGTGATAAAAACAACAATATGTTGATAATTAGTTGTTTTTACTTGATAATGTCACCTGTAGGCACAGATAGACACTAGGTGGTGCTAGAGCACCTGCCCTGTTTCTTCTGGACAAAAGAGTGCCCTTCTGAAATCTTTATTTTTTTTCATAGTGCAGCATATGACCTGTAATTAATTTCACAGTACTAAGGCAGAACTTGCTGTAAATGCAATAATTTATACTTATTTATACTCTATACTTTTCACGCTTAGTGTCATTGCAGCTCTACGTTGTGTTGCATCAAAGAAAATTTCTGCAAAATGCGTGTGAGTTTATAGTTGTGACATTAAATGTGAGAAAAATGAATACTTTTGGAAGCTACTGTATGTATAAAAAAAAAGTTTTCATTAAATAACCGTGTTACCTTTTTTAGCTCACGTAGCACTAAGGAAGCTCGCTGGGAATTTCACAGCAAGAAAAGGGAGACGGGGAAAAAAATTACAGGATCTCAGAATGAAATTGTAGCTTCTCATCTTGGGAAAGCAATTTTCAGAACAATATTCCGTATCTTTCAGTGGCGGCATTGCTAATCTCGCTCTCCAAAATCGACTTTTGATCTTTGGATTTTTGCAGTTGTGATTTATCTGAAGCTTAAGCAGCTTCACTTCACTGCTGCCGAGTTGGAGTTTTAAATTAAAACACCGGCGGGGAGGTGACAGTAATCAGCCTGTTGGTTCGTGTTAAAAGCTGAATGAGAGGATGAGGGTTCTTAATCCGCCACTTATTCTCCTTCCTTTCTCCCTCAGGTCGGTTGGTTTCCGTCTACGTACGTGGAGGAGGGCGAGGAGTGAGCCGACCGACCAGCTGGATTGGGAAAAAAAGAGAAAGAGAAGACTGAGCAGCGCGGCCGCTCGACTCTCCTACACGACGCCCTGCTGCCTCAAACCGCCCCAGCGGCCTTCGGCTGAGAGAAAGGGCTACAGTGGGCCGCGGTCCCAAACAAGCCCCATCATTTCTGCTCGACTCGGTGCGGCGGAGCAGCCTGACCGTCGAGGGGAAATGAGCTCGGCTGATGCTCCCTCTCTCCAACCCTTCATCCGTCACTTCGTTTCTTCCCCACCGGCCTGCCGCCATCCGCCCGTCTCAGCTCCCACTTTCTCCCACAAGCAAAGACTTGGATGCCATCAACTACTGGCTCTCTAAGGAGTCCCTCTATGTGAAGTTTTTCTTTTTTCTTTTTTTGTTTGGATTTTATTTCACTCTGGATGGATTCCAGCCAGTTGTGACCTTGCTCGTGTGTTTGTACTACAAACGCAGGCCGTTATTGACGACTCAGATTCATTCGCACCTCCCTCCTTCCTCCATCAGATTGCGATCGCAGCATCGTCGAGCTCTTACTGGAGGAATGGCGGGGAGCGGGCGGGGGTGGTGGCGACGGCGTCGGATAGCGTCACCGCACAGCTGCCAGCGATTGATCGCCGTTGTTCCCATTTTCCTTCGCTCTTTATCTCCGAGCCGAGCCTCTCGTGTTGTTCGTCGTCCCGGCCGTGAACGATCCTCCCGCTCTTATCGGTGGCGGCTTCTGTCAACAGGAGCCCGTCCGCCGGGGGTTTATCTTATTGTGGGCATTAGCTGCCTGTCAGGAGGAGACAGCCGAGCCCGCACTTACGAATGGTTTCTTCAGCTTCGACCTCGCCGGGGGCGACGGCTGACTCGGTGTTCGCTGGCTGCCAAAGGTCTTCATACCCCTTGAACTGCTCCACATTTTTGAGACGTCGCAGCCAAAGTTAGAAACTTGTTTTGCCCCAGTTTCTCTGACACTCCTCAATAAAAATGCAGGTCCACTAACTTGGAGTTGGTTCCACTAAATCAAATTTAAGACTTTTGAAGACCAAATACAAATTTAAGGTCTGTATCTTCACAGAAATGTACAAATTAGTATTTCTACATTATATATTACTGGTGTATCACATTATATTATTCATATTTTATATAGTAATACCACTGAGGTTTTTTTTTTTCACAGAATGAATGTAGCATCGTGTATGTGGCCAACAGAAGTGAGCCGGTGGCAAAGATGGATGTAGGCGATAAATTTACACTCGAACCTGATAGACTGAAAAAATCTAGCTAGCTAGCTGAGCCAAATTAGCAGCTAGTAGCTGTAGCCTCAACCGCTTGGAGTCACAGAACGCAATGCAGACGTCTGAGTGCGACTCAAACTGAAAAGTTGGACAAAAAATAAACTGCATACAATACACATTTTTAAAAATAGTTTTATTTTATTGCCAACTTACATTTTTTCCAACGAGTTTAAAACATTTTAAGGCCTTAATTTCAAAAAGTCTTACCGCTGAGGCTTTTTAAGGATGCGTGGAAATCCTGTTTTAGAGTTTTATGTTCAACTTTACATGTGGAATAGTTGAATGGGTGTGAATACCTTTGCACATTTATCCTATGTTGTCCTGATTTATCTTCAACACGAAATCCTTTTCCAAGCAAAACTTGTACTTTTCTTCCATTTTTTCTATCATTTATAATCCTCTCCGGAGGTCAAGCGCTAGGCGACCAATCATGAGCCGGTCTAATTTCTGTTCAGGCAACCAGAACACTATGTTGAATTTTTATTTTTTTAATTTTTATTGTTTTTACTCTGCTTTACTACTTCTTTTCCTGACATATTTGGATCTTTGCGTTCTGCCTCCCTAGCAGCCCACCACACCAGAGGCTGTACTTGTAGACGTAGGAAAGTGCATTTGAAGATGAAGTTGCAGAGCTGAGATTGAAATTTAACCGAGATCAAGGCAGCTGTCACATTTGAAAATCAGCCCCGAGGCGATTCCTTCACTCCTCATCTCCCACCCATCCCCCCACTGTCACATCTTCATTGTGTCGACGCCAACTCGCATTGTGCCATGGTGTCGGTTAATGGTTTCTATTGTGACTGTTTTGTGGACTTAATGGGTCCATTACGTGTGAAAGTCACGAATAACACCCTGCCACATCTGACACTCGCCACTTTTTTTTTTTTTTTTTTTTTTTTTTTTTGTTCGTCAAGAACGAGTCACATTAATGAGTCTTTTTTTCTTCTTCTTCTTCTTTTTTTAATGGCTTTCAAATCAACAATGTCAATAAGTGACCACCAGATGGAAGCATCCTAAACGCAGCTCTTAAAGTCTGAGGATGACGTCATATGATTAGGAGGAGGAGGAAACTGGCTTGAATTTCTCAGTAAATCATATTTCTGTTTTGGCTTAAATTTTAATTTATGAATTTCTGCTATGTTGATTATTAACCCTGAAAATCTTCCTCCAATAATATCGCCAGGAAAACAGAGACCTTCCTTATATAGATAGATCACACCTTCCTTTTGAAAAAAATAAATAAATAAAAATGGAGCCGGTTCTCTAATCACAGACTCCAGTAATCCACTCCCGCTCTTCCTCCTCCTCCTCTTCCTCGGCCTATTTGACCTCTGACAGCAGGGCCATATAAAGCTGCAGGTCTTCCTCTGCCCCTCTCCTTTTTTTTTCTTTTTGGAGCGCAGGAGGGATTGGTAGGAGGCTCAAGGGTATCTGTGATCTAATCATTACACCATCTCCTCACCTCGGCGACCCCGCCGCATTCGTCTCTGTCTCTGTCTTCCCCTCCCTTGTTTCCCCGCCCGTGTCTCGTCCAATCGCTTGCGGAGATGCTTCCCTGCGCAAAGCGTTGACCGGTTTTAATTTGACCTCAGATGAACTTTATGCCAATTTTATCGGAGATGATTTCTGCATGTGGAGAAAGAACTTCAGAGTGACCATGTAGACTCCCGTCATTTCTTTTCACCTTCAGGTCCGTCGTGATGGACGTTTGCGTTCAGATGTGTCGTGTGTGTGTGTGTGTGTGTTGTGTGTGTTTTGTTATGCCAGTAAAGCCAAAGATGTATGCTGTATCTGCCGTCTCTCGTAACCACGGTACCCAACCACTGAGGCCTGACTCTAAAACGGTGCAATCCTGACTGTAGCAGAACCCTGTATTGTTGCTGTATTATACTGTAAATGATGTACAAAGAGCGGAATAAAGATATACACTGCTTCTTCTAATGTCTTGATGTATCGGTTTTCTTCTTTGTTGTGAATTGGATGAAACGGTGTTTAATTTAGTTTGGAAGTGACTTTTAGACCTGGTGGTATGTTGAAGGTGTACAGACAGTTCATGGGGAAAAATCTTTTTTTTTTTAAGTGCATTCAGAAAAACCCTATAACAACAGACAGAAATATATTCTACATTTAATCTTCAGCTTTCATTTCATTCTTAATCCATATTTTAATGTGATGTTGATCCACCACTTTCAGCTGTAACAAAGTTGGAAAACGTTCCAATGGGTTTAGTGGTCAGTTTGTGGGAATTTTAAGCCATTCTTCCGAAAGTCCATATCTGAGATCAGACACTCATGTTGGACGAGAAGGCCTGGCTTGTAGTCGCCGCTGTAAGTCATCCCAATATTTTTCTGTCACGATGAGATCATTAAAAATATTGAATAAATATTAAATATTCTTTAACTTTTTTTTTTTTTTTAGAAAAGACGAGACGAAAACTGTGAAGGGAGCCTGAAAAGTCACCATAGGAGGTTTAGAAAATTAGCTTTCTTAAGATCTGTTTTGAAAGAGCAAAATGTCAAATTCTCCTGAGACACAGTGGCGTTTTAGGTCGCAGTTACTGCAGTTTGGCACAGAAACAACACAATACATCTTAGCCACAGACAAAGAGCAGCATCGTGCACTTGGATGACTTTTGCTAACTGTAACTTAGTGGATGAACTTAAGAACCATGGAAATGGGCATCTCAAAAATTTTCAGCTTTATTTAATTTCTGCCTCATTTTTGTGTCCCATCCTGGTAGCTCAAGTAAAGAAGTTAGTGAGTCGGGTTGCCTTGCAGAGTTATATTTTATTTTATTTTTGACAAACTAGATTTTCACACAGACTTGTAAAGGTTTTGCATACCCTGTGTCAATGTTTCATCCAGAAATACTAGAAACATGCTTTTATTTCGTAATGAAAAAGGTTTGGTGCAGATTTGCCTCTTTAGAACAAACGTGAGAAAATCCGAGTACAACAATATTAACCGCATTTAATTAACAAAATCTTCCTTTACAGGACAAGCAAATCCCCTGCTTGTTTAAGGTCTGCAGTCATTAGGAAATTCTTGTTCTATTAAATAAATCTTTTTTCTTAAATAAATAAATTTAAGAAGAAATTATTTCTTTAGACGTAACTGCAATAGAAGTTCATGGATAATTTTTAATTAACGAACATTTTTAAAGAAACCTTTGAGACTCTGAAAACTCCAAGGCTAATCCATATTACGCTTCTGTTCATTCATGGGAAACAGCTTAAGTTTCACACAAAACATGCAGGTAAGTCATAAAGAAATGAAACAAAAAGCCTCTCGGCTTCATTGTGGTCGCTCCATCGCTGCAGGGCGCCTCGACCCCATTAGGACCCGGACTGGGACTGAAGCGACAGCGTTGCGCGGCTACTCCCCCCCCCCCCCCAGGACTTTAAATAACCCCCAGCCAGCAGGGGGGCTGTTTCTCACCAGCTGATTGGCTAATAAGTGTGAACGAATGTGGGGATAGACTTGTGCGCCTTGTTGCCGCGGCCTCGTCGATAATGAGCCAAGTAAACCTGAGTTCTAAAAATAGTGGGTTAATTAAAGTAAAGGTGGAAAAGCAGGGAGAGCGCGTGTTGAAGTCACAGTCAGTGGCACAAGGCGGTGAACATATTGCTTGCAGTGTTACTCTGCAAAACCGATCCGAGTCAGGTCCGGCTGCGTTTGTGCCCATGTGTGGGTTGCCGTCTCCCCCGGCCATCTGCTGAACCAGCTTAC